TATGTATAATTGTCTATAATTTTTTTGTATTTTACTATTTCTCTTAGATTTTGGTTCATTTTGAAGAGCACCGTAATATGTATGCTGTGTATAAAAAAAATTATAATAATTGTATTAGAAATTTTTATACAGTGTTACCCGTTTAAGTAAAAAAATTTGGTAATATACCCATGAAAACAATCAATTTTTCTTAAAGTACAATATTTATTTTAAAAAATTTTATGCATTTACATTTTTTTTTATTTTTCTTCCTAAAAACACTCATTTTGTTTCAAAAATTTGTTTTTATAAAAAAAATTGGGTCCGAAGGTAGGCACAGCCACCTTAAATTCTTCTATAACACACTTTTTTTTAAAAAAAACTGTTGTATAACAAATGCATTGGTTGGCATGGAAGACGATGCTGTGTGGAAAAAGGAGGTGTGGTATTCTGAAGTCAGCTGTGATAATGGGAGTGACGAATCCTTTTCGAAACATAATACTGACAGTTAGAATGATTGCAGGTTCATGTATGCATTTGAAAATTGTTCAGACTGGTGAAATAAATTAATTATTAACTTTTTATTATTTCTCATTAAAAAAGTTTTTAAAACTTCTTAAGTATCAGATATCGATAAACCTTTTGCACATTTTTTTGTTTGTTTTTTCACAAAAAAGGTTTTGAGAATTTGAGAAGCTGCTTAGATTCGAGTAAATACCGTACTTCATAATCTTCTATTTTTAAATTCTACGATACCAATATGTCCTCGCTATCTATCGCTGGAAAACTCAGGAGCGCACACAATGATAAGCAATAAAAAAGAAGTGTGTTTATATAAATCCTAAGTAAATAATAATAACAATAACAATAGGAAAAGCATTCGAAAGTGTTCCCGTGAGATCTTCTTGTAACCGTTCTGCAAGTTTTAACATGAGAGATTTCTTTACATTTCTTTTTATTCTTCCCTTTGCCCTACCACAGAACTGTGGCCTCCAAGGGTTTTAAAAATATGATTTATAGCCAAACCGAACACCGCTTCTTTTTTGTGATGTTGTTACCGGAGTTAGATTTAAGAATTTCGGATTTGTTGGTCCACAAACCATTCGGTTTTTATTTCTCCAGATTCCTTTTCTCTCTGTTTGTATTGATCAAATTGTAAAGAAATCCTTAAGTGTAGTGTTTTATCTTTTTCTTTTATCCATCAATCAGTTGAATTTTCAGTTTTAGGAACGAGATTGTAAATTTATCTTTTAAAAATAAAGGAAAAAAGCAACGATCTTAAATGACCTATTTACAAAATGGTTGCATTTTTGGGGGATGTTTCTTAAAGTACCTTTTATGGTGTTTTTTTAGATAACTAAACTAAAGCAAAACTAAATGTTCGACATAACTATAACTCAACGCAAACTAAATGTGTTTAACGTAACTATAGCTTTACAAACGAAATGCTTGACACAGATGTTTATAATTATAACTTATAAATCTAGGTTTTATTACTTTTCTACTTATGCTTATTTTCTTAATTATTTGTCTTGATCATGACTTTTTTTTTAATTCTTACTATTAGTGCATAATCTTCCTATATATATATATATATATATATATATATATATATATATATATATATATATATATATATATATATATATATATATATACTAGAGGACCTGATAGACGCTGTCCTGTACACACATCTTAAATTCAAAATAAAAGATTTTTGAATATTTGATACTGCGATCGTAGCGCAGTCTGCCGGATCCAATGTAAAACATTCCAAGGTCAACAACTTATATAAATAAAGAATTAATTAAATAAACATTTCTAAACCGAATTAAAAATCTAAACCATTCTCGAGTCCACTGGGACAGACAAAAACTTTCGTCAAAATTGGTCCAGCCGTTTAGGAGGAGAGTTCAGTTACATACACACGCACAGAACAATTACATATATAACGTTTATTTGAAAAGGTATTAATTAAAAATGCTAAAAAGCGTGAATCATCTGCATTTTCGTAAGAATAAAGACCGAGTTTGGTCAGTTTGGCTGAAAAAACAATTTTCGACGCCAACTTACGTCTTTTTAATTCCTCTACTATTAGCTCACGATCTCTATACATATTTTATGTGTTTGTTTGTTTATTTATTTATTTATCTTGGTGGAATTTTCAATCGTTAATAAAATACATTTTAAAGCGCTCAATTGAGCTGAAATGTAATGTACATGATTATTTGGGATGACAATACAATAATTTTTAATTATAATTAATAAAAATTAATTTTTTGATTAAAACTAATTATTTAGAAAATTACAAATACAGCCACGTTGGCGACTTAGCAACCCTTTTGGCGATTTATGTCAAAATTTGAAAAGGTGTTTTTCTCACGTGTTAAAGCATTCAGTTCAAATGAAATTTTATTTTATAGCAATAGCGTTGTTAAAACAATGCAGGTGAATGTTGAGTTGTATTTTTTGAATATTTTTAATTAATATCTTCTTAACTAATTGCAATATCGGACCGAATTGTGAATCTAAACCATTCTCGAATTTACTTGAACCCACACAAAAATATTCATCGAAATCAGTCCAGCCGTTTAGAAGGAGTTTAGTGACAAACACACGCACAGAAGATTTTTATATATAAAGATATATATATATCTTATGAAACAAATCATAAAAGATTTAGATAAATTCTACCTTAAAATAGCAATTAAATACGGAATGCCGATTGAAGCATTCAATCAATTTAGATCTTATGTAGCAACAGAAATTCGGGAATTAGATTTCACTGTTGAAAATGAAATTATGTATAAAGATCTTAAATCATCAATAGAAAATATCCAAAATGACTTCATGATTACATATGTTGATAAGGTCTCTGCTAATTATGCCATAATTTGTAAATACTTTTACAGTAAAATTTTAAGTAACCACATTTTAAATAATAATTCATTTCAAAAATCAATTCACAATAATAGAGAAGATGATAATCGTCTTTTAGCTTTGAACAAAAGACTGAATATTCATCTAAATAATATTAAATATCCAAGTATTTTTTTTAACACCAAAATTTCATAAAAGCCCTATAAAATTCCGTAGTATCACTAATGGATACAATACATATATCACGAAGTCTGGGAAGATCTTACAATCTCTTCTTCAAAATCTAATTGATAATTTACAAAACACGACAATAATTAAAAATAGCTTAGAGATTGCTAGAGTTACTAAGGATATGCTAATTTTTTCCATGCATGGTTTTGATTTCGAGGACCTTTTTAATTCTATAGATATTGACGATATGATTAAGGTTCTACAGTTAATTTATGATAAATATGAATTATATACTTCAATGAAAAAAGAAAAATTCGATATTCTTGTTAACCTCGTATTAAAAGAAAATTTCATTACATTTTTTTTTATCAGAATCTTTATAAACAGATGAAAGGATTACCTCAGGGTGGTCCAGCTAGTAATTGTTTAGCGAACCTATATTTACATTTTTTTGAAATAGATCATGTTGTAAATGATTCTTACTTAATTTATCGTTATATAGATGATATAATAATTTTTGGTAAAAGTAGTGAATACAAACCAAATATTACGTTCTACCCTGATTATCTCAAGCTCCTTAAAACTAACTTCAATTCTAATATGGTGGAATTCTTGGATTTAGACTTGCATCTTATTAACAATAATGTAGTCAGTAACATTTTTGACAAAAGAGATTCGTTTAAGTTCCATATAATTAAAATTCCCGTATGGAATAGTAATTTACATATATCAATTTACAGAAATATCATTTTGAATTTTTTATTTAGAAATGATAACTTAACTACCCACAAAATAGATAAATACAATAATATAAAAAAAAAATTTCAATGTTGTTTAGATCATGAATACCCTTTTAATTTCTTAAGAACTTATATTCATCACAAATACATTAACCGTCTTGCTACTTCGAATTCCAAAACCACCACACAACAATAGGATTTCAAAGTCAGCATGTTAGTGGTCTTGCTGTGAAGATTATATCATAACACTCATATCACAGTTTACATTTTTCCACACACATCTTGAACATCTTACACATTGTTGACAACCAACCAAATTAGAGCCTAGCAAATTTACATTTTTGACAATCAACCAATTCAAATTTTACCATATTTGATTGTCGTTATTTTATACTTGTCTTTGCTGGCTGGTTTAAAAGACAGCTCAAAAGATGTGTTTATGTATTTTCGAATTTTTTATCTTGGTGAATAATTGATTTTTATTAATGGCAAGACGCTTGATTCTCTTCGTAAAAGCTTTGTGAGTAAAGAAATTTTGTTAAATTATTTTTTGAAAGATACTTTTCTTATGTAATTGTTTTAGCATTTTTCTACTTTTCTTATGTAATTATTTTGTGATTTTTCTGCATTAAGAGTTTGGGAGAGTTTGTTACATAATAGTTGTGAGTGGTTTTATCACGCTCTCTGAGTTATCCATACTCTGAAGTTTTGTTTATTTTATTTTATTTGGTTTTCCTACCGAGTTGCAAAGGGGGAAGGTTGGCACCTTCAAACTAGTTTAACCCCACTTATTCGGTTCTAAGTCCGAAATTGCTTTTTGACTCGCTAGGTTCTTTTTTTGTAGTTTTTTTTATTTCTCTATAATTTTGTTCTTCATGTTCAGCTTTTATATTTTTATTACGCTATTTCTTGTTATGTTCTTTATCTATTATTTCTTGTTTTTGATATATAATACATTTTTCTTTTATATATATATATATATATATATATATATATATATATATATATATATATATATATATATATTGTTTAAATTTTCAAACGTTAATAAAATACATTATATTAATCCATTCAAGTTCAAATACAATTTTGTTAAACGTAGTAGATGGCACTTGATATTAATACATTATTTCAAATATTAATTCATTAATTTTTTCTATTAATAAATAAATAATAACAAACAAAAATAATATTCCAACATCCTATATTAAAAGGAAAATTGCTCAATATGTCCCTGTAGTGCAATAGATAGTGCGTTGGACGTTTAATCCAAGGGTCTTGGGTTCAAAACCCACCTGGGATGGCCAAATTTCGGAGAAAGTGATTTCTTTTTTACTGTACTATTTTATTGGAATAATTAAATTTATAATTAATGAATAAATAGTGGCAAACAAAAAGTAAATGTCCAACATCCCATATAGAAAGAAAAATGGAAAATCGCTTTCTATTTTGCATCTCAATATTGTGATTCTGTCATATGTATATATGTATTCATATTCATTGTAATTATTTAATAAAAAGTAACTGAGATAAAAATTTGTTTGTTCACTTATGTAGGAATTAACTTTTAAAAAAAGTTTTTTTTATATTGCTTGTTTACAAGGATGTTACAAATATCCTAAATTTCAATTAGCGAATAAAAAAATATTATAAATGTTTCAGCTGTTTAGAATTTTTTTTAAATAGAGTCCCCATACTTTTTAAGTTTTGAGCTTAAAAAGAGCGATGGAACAAAATATATCTATAAGAATACTTTTTTTCCTTTCACAAGTAAACAATATGGGGAATCATGAACTCGTGTTTTTAGCAGATTGAACAAAGCTATGTCTTATACCACTCGAAAAGATCCTTTAATAAGTTGTGAAACGGAACAATATTTCTCACCCCCCAATAAAACAGCAAGGGAAATTCCATTCCCTCAACAACATGGGAATGGATATCTTTGGAACGTGCTTCTAGTCAGACGATTCACTGGAGCCCCATTTTTCTTTTTCCCCTCCCTTTGATATAAACTATTTTCTTTATTTCATTTCGATTTTTCTTTGGAAGATAGATACAGTGATATGTTGCTGTGAGCAACATATTCGTAGACTCGTGCAAAACTTTTGTGACAAACAAAATGAAACTGGAGCAAATGCTATTAAATGAATATATGAAAGATTATATATATATATATATATATATATATATATATATATATATATGTATGTATATTTATATATATACATATTATATATGTGGGAGACAACAAGGGGTCCAAGACGTTTGTCTTAATTCACATTTATTTTAAAATTAATTAAAAAGGTAGCTATTCTAACAGATAAGTTTGACGATGATATGCAGAAGGTAACGCCTGCTCGCGCACCTCTCTCGTTCTCCTTTCTCCTCTCTTAAAAGTTTTGGTTCTACTTTCACTAGTTCAAAAGTTTCCACAGTTTCAGTTCTCATTAGCTGCGCCTGCGCGCAAAGACTGCTTGACTTTGGCTGCCACAATCGGCCAGCCTGACTGTACGCTGTCAGCAGCAGTACGTCTTCCTTTTTTCCTTTTTCATCGAGACCAGAGGAGAATCTGAAACATACAAAAAAGACGGAACAGACAAGGACTATACGACAAATACATAGAGATTTAACATATCATAATTTTTCTGAACTAGACAGTTTCTCCATCATGTGAAGGCACTTCTACGACATCCGGAAGGTTCCACAGGAAAACATTGTGTTTCACAGGCATAAGAACGTCTTTTTTAACAAGTTGATCTTTGGTTGAACGTATCGATATTTTCCTCTGTAGAGTTCTGGACGTCTGTTCAAAACGATTTCTCTTTTTCCTTCGTTTCCACTGCCAGGGCTCAAAGATTTTTCGGAGCAACACAAACCGACGATGTTTACTCTCCATAGGTGAACAATAATCGGAAACGCTCTCTTTTATAATACCTTGTTGTAACCAATCATCAATTTGATCGTCTACCTGTAATTTCTCAGAACAAGATAAACGTCTGGCCCTCTGACACACAGGAATATCATCTTTTAATATAATACACATTTTTAACTTAGTACTCTTAATTTTATTAGGTTTATAATTCTTAATTAGAGAACTCAAATCATTTCTAATATTAAAGTTTTTAACATGTGTCAAATCATAACTAGAGTTTTCTATCACATTTGCAACATAAAAAATAGAATTAGAATAAGCACTGGAATTAGCGCCCAAAGAGGATCCACTTTCATTCAATAAAACATCGCTCTTTGCGTGGCCTAGTTTCTTTATTTCAGCATATACACTGGGATGTATAATAAATTCTTCGGTCAAGGTCGGTGATATTGCCGTTCGAACACTTAGACCGGGAGAGTGTTGATTTAGAGAAAGATTTATCAGTTTAACTTCTACCATACGCTTTTTACCAAAACATGAACTTAATGTTATGATTTCTTCGGAAGGCTGGTTCACTCTAATTAGTGAGGAATTTAAAACTGGGATCTGGCAACCTGAATCAATCAAGGCTGTTACGGGCTGATTTTCTACAAAAATGCTTACGTATTGAAGATTTGCGATCTCACCGCTATTTTGTTTTTCGCTCTCGACTTTCAAAGTATTCACGTTAATTTTATTACAGATGTGGCTGTTAGATTCTTTAAGCTTAAAACGCTTCTCACAGTCTCTTGCGTAATGAGATGAATCACCGCATATAAAGCAATTTTTATTTTGTCTTTCAAATTATTTCATTTTTATTTTCTTTTTCTTTTGGGGATAGTTCTCTTTAATCTTTGGTTTAAAGTTTTGTGATCTATTTTTAAAGGGGTCTTGGGTATATCCATAAGTAATAGGAATTTCTTTATGTGATCCGCTTCTAGATGAAATATAAATATCGCACTCTTTAGCTAAATCAATAGGCCTGAACCAATCTTCTGCTTCTCGAATGCCAATATGAGTTGCAGTTTCCTTATTTAAAGTTTCAAATAATTTATCAGAAATTATAAGATCACATAGAGATTCAAAGGAATTAACTTTTCTTAACGAACAATAATATTGGAAGTTTGCCGTCAATCTTGCAGCAAATTGGATGTATGTCTCGCCTGATGATTTTACAGCATTTTTAAATGAGTTTAAACACTCGCGAGGGGTTAATTGGAATTCTCTGAGTACTATAGATTTTAGTTTTTCATAGTCATTTAATTCCTCTTCTTTAATATACAATAAGACGTTATGAGCTCTTTCGCCCAGAAGATTTATTAAAATTTCAGATTTATATTCGTCATTTATTTTCTTGGTTAAAAATGCGCGTTCTAATGATTGGAAGAACAGATTAAAATTTTCAGATCTGGTGGGAACAGGAAGAGATAAAGTTCTAATATTTTTTATCATATTTTCGATGTTAGTTTCGAACTGTTTATCTTCGACTTTAGCTGCAGGATTTAAACTTAATGCTTTATTTTTAGCCCTTTGAAGTTCGACTTCTTTTTCTAATTTTGCTAACTGAAGTTTCGCGAGCTCAATTTTCTGTTTTTCTAAAGTTACCTCTCTTTCGTTTCGCGATACTCTCTCATCTATACAGTTTTGAATTAAAGTTTTAACGAAATCTGGATCACTTTCAAATGTACTACTGTTCTCAATATTTTAGTCTTTAGTTTAACTATGGTGTCCGTACTCTCCACAGTACCGTCTAGATCCTCAACAACTCTTATGAGATCCTCTTTAAGAGCGTTTTTATACATTTTAGAAAAATATGGAAAGATCCTACCTTTTTTTTTCTAGCTCCCTTGTTGCTCGCACGTACGATGTATCCAATAATTAAGAAAAACGTTGATTCCACAGATCTCACCTCTTCGCAGGTTATATCGTTAGATGAAAAATAGTTCTTGAAATTGTTCGAATTGACACCTCTTCGCAGGTGTTTGTGAGTGGTTCCAACCTCTACACAGGCGGAATTTTCGACGATAGTTCCAACCTCTACACAGGCGGAATATTTAGGGTTCGATGAAAAATATAACCTCTACACAGGTTATTTTATTCAACAGTTCCAACCTCTACACAGGCGGAATATTTATGCTGAGTTCAAACCTCTACACAGGTTGAACGAAGTTTCCAAATCCCGGCCTCTACACAGGCGGAGTATTCATGCTGAGTTCAAACCTCTACACAGGTTGAACGAAGTTTCCGAAAAATGGTGGCGCGTCTCCTCCACGGACGGCTTTTGTTCATTGTCCAGACTTTGGTTCAAAATCGAAATTTTTTCGATCGCGGCCGAGCCCCCATAATTTGTGGGAGACAAGGGGTCCAAGACGTTTGTCTTACTTCACATTTATTTTAAAATTAATTAAAAAGGTAGCTATTCTAACAGATAAGTTTAACGATGATATGCAGAAGGTAACGCCTGCTCGCGCACCTCTCTCGTTCTCCTTTCCCCTCTCTTAAAAGTTTTGGTTCTACTTTCACTAGTTCAAAAGTTTCCACAGTTTCAGTTCTCATTAGCTGCGCCTGCGCGCGAAGACTGCTTGGCTTTGGCTGCCACATATATATATATATAAGCTATATGTATTATATATATGTATATTTATATATATACATATATATATATGCTATATGTATTATATATATATATATATTATCTATCTCCATAGATATAGAAGACATGTTTAAGATTCTTAAAATAGCATATGGCAAATATTTTTTGAATAAGATAATAAAATGTGGTAAATATATTTCTGTTATTGAATTAGTATTAAAAGAAACTTATATTTTCCATAATAACGTTCATTATCAGCAAATTAAAGATTTACCACAAGGTGGACCAGCTGGCAACTGCTTAGCAAATATTTACTTGGAGGACTACACGCACGCAGACCTGTTGTGTGTGTCCCATTGACCAGACAACACCGTACTGCCCGTTTGCAATGGTGTCGTGAGCATCACAATTGGACTGAACAGGACTGGGCATGCGTACTATTCTCAGATGACAGTAGGTTCAGTCTGTCATCGGATTGTAGACGCCAACTGATCTGGCGCGAGAGTGGTACTGCCTATCGTCCAGAAAATATCCAGGAAAAGGACCGATATCCGACATGCAGTATCATGGTGTGGGCCGGCATCATGATCAATGGCCGAACGCGCCTACATGTGGTTGCGAATGGGACTATGACGGGCCAACGATACATTGATGAAGTTCTACATCCTCATGTTTGTCTTTTCCGTGGTGCTGTCGGTGATAAATTTGTTTTTATGGACGACAACGCAACATGTCATCGAACACTCGCTGTTCAGGATTGTCTAGACAGCGAGGGTATTCAACGTCTCGTATGGCCAGC